GGAATGGAATATCGGATCCTGTCCATGAAGTCTCGCCCCTGCCTAACTTTGGGAACTCGCGCGCTCGCTACATGCCGGTGCCTTATGGGTCATAAGGTTGCAGGATTTGCAGCGACCGCCGAAGTACTTGTCAAAATATCACCAGCATCAATGTACAGCCCGGAACAATTTGTTTCTGGTACTCATTCCAGAGGTTCCAGCGGGACGGTCGGTCTCTGATTGCTATTAGAAGAGGCAAGAGGCGAGAGACGCCAGCTTAGCTTCGGCATGTTGACCGTATATTTCTCTCTTCATAAGAATACCCAAAACAAGGACCGAGTATGGCGCCAATGCAGGAGATCTAGCATGCATATTGATGATTCAGCCATATACTTTGCATATGAAGCCTGGCATACTCAATATTATTTCGCGATCCGTGAGGCTGCCTACCACATTGGGATTCGTGCCGCTGGGCCTCTTGGCAACCAACAACTTGGATCTCCTTCTACAGGTATCTCTTCAATTGACGAATGGGAAGACCTCAAATTAGACCGCCCGAGAGGCCCAGCAGTTATCATGCATCTTCCTGCGGGTCCAGTTGAAGGCATCCATCGACCGTCTATTCCATTGGCCGCATGCCAGCGTGTCCACCCACTCTCTTATTCACGGAGCCCTGTGATTGGAACTATGAACTTGAAATTGACGCCGCGAGACCGGCTCAGCGTACCTCACAACCATATCCACATGAGACTTGCAGGGTGATAAAGCATGATTTCGTACTTTCCATCTAGATGGTACCTTGTATTTACCCATTACAGATGACTGCACCAGAAGGCGCCTACACCTTGCAGAGCGCCTCATGTGAGGTCGCCTTCTTGATGCCTGTCCATGTACCATGTAGATTCCTGAAAGAAGGCGTCTAATGTTTCGCACTCTGGACTTTGTGAGTGTAAGCGATCTCATAGTAATGGGTATAAAGATGTGAAGTCCCCTCCTCTTTCCTTTCTGTAATTTCGGAACGTCGTCCTATAGCAGACCCGGTTTGAATCTCGAACGCAATATCGTACGCCCCTCATTTTTATCCCAACCTTTACTTGTCTGCCAGAAGTATGCCTACCGCCACTGACGATCGCCCCGGGGAGAGCACTTCCCAAAACGACTACGCCGGTAAGTCTATTCCAGTCAACTCATACAGTCCCCGGCGTTCCCAGGTCTGAAAGCTCTGGCTGACGCAACATCCAGCGGATGTGCGCCTTGGCGAAGTTACCGAACTGCCGCAAAACCTCAAGCGGCAGTTTTATCCCCCACTTGTACTCCTGGACGCGCTTAATGCGCCCACGGTGTTAAAAAGACGGAGCTATAATGATTCAACACATGGAGATACATACGATCCAGAGAAAATATTCCATCATTTCGTCTCCCGCGTGGCTTTGATTTGCCAGGTTGAGCCTAATGGAGACGCCGTCTCCTCTTGCGTGGTCTTACAAGAGCCGGATAGGGTCGAATACGTCTTCACTTCCAATCATCGGACAAAGAAGCAGTTGGCGAGCGTTGCCCAGGCCCTCAGGGGTATCCTTGACATGGTTCCGCCGATGGATGAAGAGAGCGACAAGGATGACCTGGAGATCCGGAGCAAGATGCTACGGGCTGTCCTCGCGCTGAGCTGGTGCAGGGTGAGGCGTTACCTGAATGCTCTGAGCCAAGAGTTACGCCCCTGCATGGCCAGTTGCGAGCGGAAGGGGACGGAACGAGGTAGGTCACTTTTGCCGATCATGTCACTTACACAAGGCTCACCATGTGCTCACGAATTAGATCGAAAACTTGGGCTTGCCTTAGAGAAGATCGCGTCATTGACATACACTGCTGCTGAGCTGGCAAAGACAGCAAAAACTGACGGTAAGCTGGAAGGAACCCCTGCCCGTAGCGCGGAGCCCAAGATGCTTACTTGTACTAATTTATTACCTCCCTATTAAGATCATGACCAGTTCAGTTTTGCCACAGAAGCAGTAATCAGAGAGCTTGAGAGCCTCCGAAAGGATTCATATTTATTTTCGCTCATCTGCCGAAGTGTTGCTGTGGAACATAAGCAGGCCAACGGAATGTACTGGACCGAAATGTGCCACATCTCAGACCGCCTCAAGGCCTACAAAGGAGCCATTGACTCCATGTTCATCGCCCGCGACAACTGGCCCGAGCTTTTCGAGACCTTCGAGGTTCGATTCATCCCATCATCATCTCGGATGGGAAATGTATTGGCAGGGGGGGCAAAGACTGCAGCTCAGCTCGTGAGGGTCTGTACTTCGGATAAGAATATCCTTCCGGAGCTGGAGGCTAGCGTGGCAACACTCCAAAATATGCACGATATCGACGACATCATCAATCAAACGTGGACAGGGGGGATCAAGCCTGTCATTCACTCGGAGGTGCAGCTCCACAGTTGGCTCGAATCAACGGGCAGGACCCACCCCGAACGCTTCTTCGGCCGGTATAAATTTATCGGGAGCAGCAAGCCGACCTGCAAGCTATGCTCGTTCTACTTTGACGAGCATGGAACGGATGTGAAAGTGCTTCCTTCACACCGCAATATCTACTTGCAGTGGCGCATGCCTGACGTCCTCGATTATGGCAGTCCAGATGACCTCGAGGAGCGCAAAAATGTGCGCAAGGACCTTCTACACAAGATTAAGAAACGGGTTGTTGCCGACATTGTCCGCACCATCAAAGAGAAGCGAGCAGACTCCCAGAATCACGACTCCACCGATCAGAGAGGACGAGACTTGAGGAGCTATCTTAACGCGTCTGTGGCCGATACGATGTCTTCCGCCATGGACAACCTCAGCATCGTGGGCGAAGTGGATGAAGTTTCCGATACTGTCGATACCCATACAATCAATTTCCCCGGTCGAGATGGGCTTATGCTAGCCAGACGCCTGTAAAGGGTGTCGAATGGAAATAGAGGGACTGTCCAGAGGTTTAACGCTCTGTATGGCAATTTCTCGGGTCCGGGGGGTTATCCTTCCTTCGAGAATCCTGATAGGGACACCTATCATGCTAACTCGGCGAAGGGTGGCTCGTACGTGAGGACGATGTCCGCACACTAGCCTTCTGGACTGTATTTCCTTACCAATAGTGTGCGGACTCACGTACGCGCCTCCCCGCCGAGTGTGCATGTAGCTTAGCTAAGGGTCTCGTATTCGTGTCGACGGTGGCTATTATGCTACGCGGTCGTCCGGACTCAGAATCCACGTCTAGCTAGCTGGCACCTCCCCTGCATACCTCCCCTGCCCTCCTGCCCTGTTGACTTGAGAGATGGGAACGGAAGATAGGCACGGTTGGTATCCGGGAAAAGGTGCCAGACGCGGATTCATGGCCGAATGCTTCGGTGTTTAACCTCTTTCCTAGTGTTTTTGTTTTCGATCTTTTTTTTTTCAGATGGGGCTAGTCGTCATGAGAGGCGGAGGAGTTAAGAAGAGTTAAGAAGAGTTAAGAAGACGTTCGTATATCTTGATTTTGTAGTCCAATTTGCAACAGTGTTTTCCTTGGAAGTTTACAGAGTGGGCATACGAAGGCTCTAGGAGACAGCTGTAGCACCAATGTTTGCAGAGTTCATCCGCGCATCCCTTTGACCGTAAGCGATACTGTATTGCCTTCTCCCTGTCTTAAATTCCCGGGCTCTTTATCTCCCTGGAGTCCGAAGTCTCCGCGCGCGCCACTACATTTCACATACGCTTGAACTTCCTCCCGGGCGATACGATAGAGCGGTCGCCTCCCACCAACCAAGTACAAAAGTATTCCTTTAGTCCCAAGGTCCGAATTTATACGCCGGTGGCTTAACTCCTCGATCTCTTGAATATATACAACATACCTTGTTTTTTGCACCACCTCGGATTCAAGATAATGTCCTTTTGGAAAAAGTAGGTCTATTGTCAGTACTCTCTGGCTCAGCTGGAAAATTTTATTCCCCACACCTGGGATGTAAGAAGAGCCATGTCTGGCACAAGGCTTTTGTTTTCACCTACTAGTACGAGCAGAGCTAGAGTAGCGCAAAAAGGCAAAAGGGTGGGGGCCAACCGGGAATTGAACCCGGGACCTCTCGCAACTTAGTTATATGATGTGGATCAAATAACAGGCTAAGGGTGTTACCCTAAGCGAGAATCATACCGCTAGACCATCGGCCCTTGTGAAATGACGATGTACACCGAGGCGGAGAATTGGTACCTAGGACTCCTGGACAAAAACAGCAAAGCTGATGGTAGCCTCCTGGGTGGAGGAGAATTGGTTGAGCTTGTTTCATGAAAGGACCGTACTACATACCCTTGGATTCCGCGCACAAATCAGGTCATCCCAGGTCTTGCCTTCTAGCACCCTAGTATACAGCCCGTGAGCGAGGAGACACTTGATAGCGAGCGCCGACAGTATTACGATAAACTTGCGGGCCAAATGTGACGAGAATTAGGTATATTTCTTTACCGAGTAAGTATAGCTAAAAGGAGCAAGGCGGTTGAGCACGTATGGGAAGACAGTCACTGGCGGCATCCACATGTGTCCACGGGTAGAGTAAGGTTTAACATCGTTTAAAGTCAAGAATACCTGCAAGGAGTTCGAGATGAACGATCCCCAGACATAACCGGAGTAGACACGTCGCTCATATAGATAGATCTATTTCAGGCCACCTGTATCCTGATGGCATCGTGGACGTGTCTGCTCTGCTACCGGAGTGGTTTCACTACAATAGCATTGACTTCGAGGTCCTCCTTTACCCATAAGGACGCTTCAATCAACCACTGCCTTGTAAATGTCCACACCTGAGGTTCTACCTCGGCCATCCTATCCCCGGTGGTGGTGCTTGGGTGTTTGTGGACCCGATGTGTCATCGGCGACGGGCCGCCCACGGTATAGGCTAATGCAATTACAGCGTCAAAAAGAGTATTAAATATAGGTCGTTAGCATCCAAGTAAGCCTCATAGGTTCACGGATTAGAGCAGGAAGTAACAACAACTGGCAATCTGGTCACGTGACATGCCTTCTTAGCTCAGTTGGTAGAGCGTTGGTCTCATAATTCATTATGATCCAGAATCATTCTGGGATATCCAAAGGTCGACAGTTCGAGCCTGCCAGAGGGCATTCTTTTTTGCAATTTCCTAGATGGACGGAATATTTTTGCCCTTATCTCATCCGATAGATATCTTGCTAATATCCAATGGCTTCGATAGACAGGTACTCTAGCTGGGTGGCGAGAAGCTGCAGTACTTCTCGACCTCTATTGGCCTCTATATTCACTTCTTTATGTCTCGTCATGACAATGTTCTTGGTCATACAACAATGTCATAGGCTGTTCCCGGATGAACGAGCAAGTATAGCATATTCTCGTTTGCGGAATACAGTTTGATATCTGCCGTGCCTCAAAACTTTCGCCTCGGCGCTTTTTCAGTGATATCTGTCATCGGGTCTGACCTCGACTATAGGATTATCGTACCTCCTGCGAACTCTCCTTCCCGTGTTAATATTAGCACCACGATTCTATCTAACATAAACTGGCTATCAGGTCAAAAATACGGCAAAAGTAAAAGTAGAAGGGGGCCAACCGGGAATTGAACCCGGGACCTCTCGCATTTTAGTTGTATGATGAATCATACAACAAGCTAAGGGTGTTACCCTAAGCGAGAATCATACCGCTAGACCATCGGCCCATCCTGTTGATGACGACGCCCGCCTAGGATAGCATAGGAACAAAGCAACCCGAAGTGTAGTAGGTCCTATGTTGAAAGCTAGGCTCGTACTACGAATAGATGTTGTTAGACTGGGTTAATAGAAGGCCCTCCCAAGTATTAGAAGAGAGACTGGTATTACTTTTTCTCACATTTGGTACCATTGGTCAATTCTCTACCCATGTGTGCAGCGGCCTTGTAGTATTTGCAGCAAATCATCTAGTGCCACACAAGATGAGATACTAGCTGACGAGGAGCAGGAAAACATTGGGATCAGAAACAAGATAGGGTCGCATTGTTGGATCTATCCAGCTATTTTTACCAGCTCCTGCAGATACTAAGCGGTTTGATAAAGGTCATGATCGAGTACCAGTCCGCCCAGGAAATCCTTCCCTAAAAGGTCACGGGACAGCAGGACACTCCATCTTGGGTCCTTAGACGTAAAGGTCAGAATGCTAGCCACCTTCATCCGTATCCACATCGGGCTCAAGAAAGGACCTGTATCGGAGTGAGCTTTAGCACGTGGATGGGGGTTACCCTCCGCAGATATCAGGTTCCTCCGGAGATCTTTCGACTAGCATCAAGACGCTTATAAGGTTGGAGCGGTTCGAACTTGTAAATTGCACCACTGGTTCACATCGGACGAATCGCGGGACGGCTAATAGGTATTTAGGTAGTGATCAGCGTCACTAAAGTGCAGCTGAAGCCCAACCAATCATGGAAATAGCCGACAAGACCTGCGCCACACTGCACCAGGATAATAGACGTCAGCCAATTAGCGAGACTCTTGTCTGTGCAGTATTGGGCAGACACCAGCGAGGGGGCGGCCCGTGCATTCATTCATTGCCTATTTTGACATGGGAATAGGACCTGTCTTCTTTCCAACCAAGTTGGCTTTGACTTGCCCAGCTTGTCGACAGCCTGAGCGCGAGCTGCAAGGAATACACTTTCTCTCGAAGCCTCACTGATCTAGTGTAGCACTTCTCCATCTTTGATTGCCTCCTTCCTTTACCAAAGAAACCTGCCTCGATTTCGCTGACTCCGATCCTTGTTTCCCTCTCAAAAGTTGAGAATTACGACCGCTTGCATGAGAAGCGGTCCAGGGCGTTTCCCTTCTACAAGCAATACGCCGCCCCTATGTCGTCCAGCGATCCGACCCTTGGTGGCAGCGCTAGTGACAGCGATGCCGTTGTGGTCCATCCAGACGATGTTAGCACCTACAACCCGGAGCAGATCCTACCGTCTCCGCCCAAGGATATTGAGGCTATCAGATCCTGGCTCCACCCAACTTTGTATGATAGTGCTGGTGGGGAGTATCGGAAGCACCTTGCCTCGCACGTTGAAGGTACGGGAACCTGGCTCACGTCAAGCAAAACCTACCAAGAGTGGCTACACGGGACCGAGCATGGCCTGCTTTGGATCAAGGGCATCCCCGGGTCCGGAAAGTCCGTCGTCGCCGCTAACCTCATCCGCGAGCTTGCGAGATCCAACCCGGGCTCCCCGGTCCTCTTCTTCTTTTTCCGACAGATCATTGATGCCAACCATGACCCCCAAGCGCTGTTGCGAGACTGGATGGACCAGTTATTAGAGTATAGCCCCCCACTACAGATGCAACTCATGGCTTATGTCAAGGAAGGCCGGTCTATTACCACTCTTTCCATGGAAGATCTCTGGAAGGACCTATCGCACGCCCTTACCCGTCTGCCTGGGAAGGTGTTCTGCATTGGTGACGCACTCGACGAGATAGACCAGGACCGAGGCCACGATGTGTTCCTAAGGGCGCTTGGATCGCTGGGTCAGTTACGACCACTAACCGTCAAGGTGTTAATCACCAGCCGCCCGGTCCCAAGGGTGGAAATCCCACTTAGGACAATTCCGGGTCTTTGCATTCGACTGGAGGAAGCCCTCGTCGATGTAGACATCTCGACCTACGTACACTTTGCGCTATCGACATCTACTTTCCCGATCCAGCAGAGCGACCGGAAGATTATCGAAAACGCCGTGCCAGGACGGGCGAATGGTCTCTTCCTTTACGCCAAGCTTGCGATGGATGCCTTCCTGGAACCAAATGCCGATATCGCCACAGTCCTGTCACGGCTCCCTGCTGATTTGAATGCCCTGTACACCGACCTCCTAGAAGAGCATTCACAGAGATCTGGTATCGCAACAGAGGTCCAGCGTCTGATCCTCCAATCCGTCACCCATGCCACCCGCCCTCTACGACTGCTCGAGCTCGCAGAGATGATTAGGGTTTGCAGCCCTGACCGTCGCAGTTCAGTGGGGGAGGACGAGAAACCCATGGAGTCCACGCGGGACTTGAAAGCTACGAAGGAGCTCATAAGGGCCGCATGCGGGCCGCTCTTGGAAATACTGGCTGGTGAGACAGTGTCTGTCATTCACCATTCCTTCACCGAGTATCTCAAGGGAATTACAAGGGGAGACAAGGATGATACGGGATATCCTGTTCTGGAGGCTGGGTCGACTCACGCCGAACTAGCCCTCGCCTGTTTGCACTACTTGCAGTCTGGGTGTCTTCGGTGGACGCCGACGCTGAAGAAGGAGACTATATGGGTGGAGCATCGATCGATGGAGCATGGGTCCCCGGGGGTCATAATGTCACGGAAGGGGAATCGAAGTTGAGATTGCGGTATCCGTTTTACGATTACGCCGCCAGCAACTGGGCAGGCCATATCAGAGCCTCGGAAGCAGCTGGGTACGACCAGACAAGGGTCAATGCCGAACTCGCCAAGTTCCTGGGGCGAGTCGACACCTTCGAGGGCTGGCTGGCGAACAGGTGGATGCGCAGATACGACTCCTCTAATCCTGTCACTCAGCTACATGTGGCGGCGAATGGGGGCCTAGTCTCGTATACCAAAGAGCTCCTACAAGATGGGGAGGGGGTGGTGGACGCGCGTGATGCCGGCGGTAGGACCCCGCTGTAAGCGACTAATCGTCCTTTAGCCCAACATACGTACTGGCGGACGCTAATACTGGGATCCTAGCTGGTTGGCTGCTGCCGAGGGCCATGCAGCGGTTATTCGGGAGTTGATAGCCGCGGGTGCGAACCCAAATGAACGCTGCACGGTTGGGGGACTCACGCCTCTACATAAAGCGGCCGGCAGGAACTATTTCGAAGCCGCCAGCGCCTTGATATACGCTGGTGCTGACCCTCTGGCGCCGAAGAAATACCTGGATGACATAAGATCCATTGAAGATTCTCCTCTTGGACTTGCCTCCCGACAAGGCCACTTGGAGACTGTCAACATCTTTCTACCCTTCCTCGAAGATCTCACCGCCGTCCACCACGCCCTTTCATCTGCAGCCAAAGCTGGCCAAGCGAAAGTGGTTGCGCGCATCCTTGAGTACCCTGGCGTGGATGTTAATTCTAAGATTCGTGGCAAAACTGCACTCTTCTTGGCCTGTGGCTGTCCGGATGCCGAGACTGTCAGAATCCTCTTGCAGGCTGGAGCAGACCCTAACATCAACCGTGAGGACCGCCCGCATGATATACAGGTCACCCACAGGACGAGGCGCCCCGGCTGGGGAAATGCCACGTTCAATTGTATGCACCAGCTATGCGGATCGGCTGCGGGAATCGAAGATGAAGGCGCGCCTGAGGTTCAGAGAGAGATCTTCTCACTCCTAATCCAAGCAGGCACTGGAATCCATCAGCGCTGCATCTCGGGAATGACTCCACTACACTACGCTGCCAACACATCGGTAACCTTGATCAGGCTCTTGCTTGATGCCGGGGCCGATCCTAATGCTGCCGATAACTACGGTCAAACGCCCATATACAAGGCAAGAACTAGTGAGCATTTGGTTGCTCTGATCGAGGGGAACGCAGATATACACTGGAGAGACGCAGATGGACGAACTCCTCTCCTTCACATGCTATCCTCACACAATGAGGATCTGAGCCACACGCTTGAACAACACGGGGCTGACCCTAATGTAGTCGACAATGAGGGCAATGGACCACTTCATAGCTTGCTACAAACGTCATACCCCTCGATGTGGACAATGGCGGGCCTTCTTCTCGGTGTTGCTAACGCTGAACCGAACCTGAAGAACCACGATGGCCTCACCCCGCTCCTTTCTCTAGAGGATTATTCTGAGCATATACAAGAGGCTGTGGACATGCTCCTCGAAGCGGGTGCGGACATTGATGCAATCGACAGGGATGGTATGACGCTCCTGGCTCTCCGTCTTTTCAGCGATAGAGTCCCGTCTTTTGATCAGGGAGCAGAATGTAACCATGATCTTAAATGTCTTATTGATCGTGGCGCCTCCACGTCCTTACTCGACCTCAACGGCCGAACTCTACTTCATTCCGCAGTTAGTTCGCTCGACTCACATGGTGGACATGACATAGAGCCTCGTTTAGCAAGGTTCAACTTCATCCTCGGCCTGGGCCTTGACGTAACGGCTAAAGATTGCCGTGGGAATGGGCTCCTCCACGAGCTGGCCCTTCTCAAAGGTAACCACGGGCGGAAGAATCGGTGGTATAGCGTCACGTGGCTCATCCCTGTCTGGAAGAAGCTTGTTGACCGTGGATTGGATCTGCATCGGAGCAATTATGCCGGGCGCACACCGCTGCATATTCTATGTGCTACATCTAATATCCACCCTGGGGGGCCTGGAGATATGATGCCGATCGACTTCGTCCTCTCCAAGACCAAGAACGTCGATCAGACTGACAAGGATGGCAACACAGCGCTACATATTGCTGCGGCTGCCGGAGAAAAGGAGATTTACGTCAAAAAGCTTCTCGAGGCCGGCGCCGACCCTACGGCAGTTACGCATGAGGGCCTGACTGCTCTCCATCTTGCAAGCCGCTTCCGAAGCCCGAACATTGTCGGCCTCCTTCTGGATGCGCTGCGTAGGCGTCAATACGTCAACGTGGGGAGATCTGATATCCAAGGTAAAGACAGCGCAACAGCGACACCGGAGCCAGTGAATGGGGTGAATGTAGGAGCTTT